GGGATGGCACGGCACGGGATGGCACGGCACGGGATGGCACGGCACGGCGATCCCGGTGCCACCAAGGCTGTGGGACAGCAGGTAGGGCATGGAGTGTGTTGCAGGATGGACTGACAGCCCGGTTCTGGCCGGGCAGTGGGATGTGAGTCCCGGTTCTGGGGGCCCGGCTGGAGCCTCACGCACCCTCCTCACGCACCGCCACCTGCCCCAGGCCCACCGCCCACACCGACCCCCTCAGCCCCCCCCTACCGCCGCCGCCCCCGCTCACGTGTGGCCGCAGCCCGCGATGCCGACGGCGCGGTGGAAGACCTCCAGGCAGATGGGGCAGCTGAACTGTGCCTCCAGCGCCTCGGCCGCGGGGCCGCCGGGGGGCGGCGGGCGGGGGGGGCCGGGGCCCGGGGCCTGGGGGCGCTGCGCCGCCGCTACCAGCAGGCTGCGGAACATGGCGGCGGCGGGCGTAAGGATGGCGTGACGTCGCCGTGCGTCGTGACGTTACCGTGCGTCGTGACGTCATCAGCGCGCGCCGGCGGCGGAGGGAGGGGGAGCGGAGCGGAGGTGCCATGTGTGAAGCGTCGGGGCGGTGCGGAGGGTGCGGGGAAGCGCCGGTGCGGCGCCGTGCTGCCCCCGTGTGCAGGTGGGAGCGGGACGTCGCGAGAGATCCGTCCCCGGGGCCGTGCCCCGCTTCGGGAGGGGATCGGTGACGGCTTCGTTCCCCGCAGCCACCCGCGGCCGTGCGTGAAGTGCGGGGATGGCCCCGCCGCCGTCGTCATCCGAATCGGGGATGCGTTTTGTCGGTGAGGGGACCGGGATGCTGGGGTGTGGAGTCGGCGGGGCGTGGGGATGTGTGGTTCAGGGGTGTGGGGTTGGGAGACGTCAGGGCTTGGGGACGTCAACGCTTGGGGACTTTGGGTTCTGGGGAGATCGCGGGTCTGGGTTATGGGGGCATCAGGCTTGGGGACGCGAGGCTCTGAGATGTCTGAGGATATTGGGTTTGGTGACATCCAGGAGTAGGGACATCACATCCTGGGGACATTAAGGTGTGGAGATTGTGATGCAGGGCCTGGGGATGCCGCAGCTTGGGGATGTGGTCATGGGGTTAAGAAACATCAAGGCTCTGGGATGGAGGGCACGGGGACAGCACAGATTGGAGACACTGGTCATCAGGACACAGAGACGTGGGGCTCTGGGATATAGGGAACTCAGGGGTGTAGGGCTTAGAGATGTCAGGTCTGGGGACACTGGGTTTTGTAATGTCCAAGAATGGGGACATCACAGCTTGGGAACATCAGCACTTAGAGATAAGAGCTTGTAGACGTGGGGCTTGAGGACACTGGATGTCAGAGACACCAAGGCCCGGGCACAGCAGTGCTTGGAGACAGGGGTGCTCAGGGCTGCCTGTCTGTCTGCAGCTCCTGTTTCCGTGAGTACTTTGTGCACAAGTTCCGTGCCATGCTGGGCAAGAACCGCGTCATCTTCCCAGGAGAAAAGGTACTGGGGACACGTGGGGTGGGGGGGACGTGGTGCTGGGGGCACTGCACTGAGGCCGCTGACTGTCCCTGCTGTCCCTGCAGGTTCTGCTGGCACTGTCAGGCGGGATGGCCTCCAGTGCCATGCTGCGACAGGTGCAGGAGGTGAGTATAGGGGGTTGGGGGACGTGGGGCACAGCTTAGCCTGCTTACCCCATTGCTGTGCCAGGGGCTGAGCCGTGAGACGGCCAAGCGGCTGCGCTTTGTGCCTGGCCTCATCTACATCGACGGTAAGGCATGTCCCATCCCTGCTGCTCGTGCATCTCCCTGTGACCTGTCCCCATCCCTCCTTCCCATTCCTGTTGTGGGGCTGTGATACCCTGGGGTCTGCTCCCCTGCTCCAGCTGCTGCCACTGTGCCCACAGAGGGAGCGGTGTGCGGGCAGAGCCTGGTGCAACGGGAGCAAACTCTGACCCGCATGGAGGCCTTGCTGCAGGAAACCGGCTTCCCCTACTACCTGGCCTCCCTGGAGCAGGTGGGGACAGGATGGGGCTGGGGAGCACGATGTGGGGAGATGCGTCTGCCTGCACACAGCTCCCTATCTGTCCACAGGCCTTGGAGCTGCCTGGCTCAATCCTGCAGCGGGGCCCTGGTGGGGACAGTGAGCCGAGCCCTTCTTACAAGGTGGCTGTAGAGGGTTTCATCCAGCAGCAGCGGCAGGAGGAGGCCAGTGGGGATGGTGACACCTCGCCCACGGGGTTCAGCACCCAGGATGGTCCCACAGGGGACTCCCACGCCTGCCTGCCTGCAGCTGCCCGCACTGAGGAGCTGCTGCGGCTCTTTGATGCAGCAGAGACGCTGACAGCAAAGGAGGAGCTGCTGCAGATGCTGAGGTGAGGGACTCCTCCTGCCCAGCGAGCACATGGCATGGCCCTGTGGGTCTGAGCCAGTGTCACTGTGTCCCCAGGAGCCACCTCCTCCTGCACACTGCCCGCACGCGGGGTTACACCAAGGTGATGACAGGCGAGAGCTGCACCCGTGTGGCCATCAAGCTGCTCACCAATCTGGCACTGGGACGCGGCGCCTTCCTCGCTGTGGACACAGTGAGTGCCATCCCTGCCTGGGAGGGGGACAGGACCCAAGCACTGCTCTGTTCCTAGGATTATCCCCAGCTTGGTGGCAGTATCTCAGCAGACTCCTGCTCATCTGCAGGGCTTTGTGGACAGCCGACACGGTGATGTGACAGTGGTGCGTCCCATGCGGGACTACACGGCCAAGGAGATTGCATTCTACAACCACTTCTTTGGCGTCCCCACCATCATCACACCACCCCTCCACGCCAAGGTAGGGGTGCCCCCGCTTCCCCACTTCCAGCCGGACTGAGCTGTTGGCCTCCCTCCATCCTGCCCTTCTCTATTTCCCCTGCAGCGCCGAGAGAAGACCAGCATCCACCGCCTGATGGAGAACTTCCTGCTGGGATTGCAGGTGGATTTCCCCTCCACCATCAGCACTGTGTACCGGTACAGCACCTGAGGGCAGGGTGGTTGGGGGCAGGCAGTGAGGTGCCGCTGCTCATCCCCTCTTTACATCTGCAGGACAGGTGAGAAGCTGAGCGTGGCTCCAGCAGAAGCAAACAGCGATGTGCAGCGCTGCCTGCTCTGCCTCTGCGCCCTGGACATCGCTGGGGGTGAGTGGCACTAGGGGGGGGATTCACTGAGGTGACAGCGTGTGCCAAGTGTGTGACTGTCCCTTGGTTCTTGCAGAGGAGGAGCTGGCCTTAGAGCCCACGCTGGTGAAGGAGGAGACAGGGAACGGGTGAGCAGTAGGATGCTCTCCAGCATGGGGGACATGGAGACACCAGAGACAGCAGCAGGGACATTGTCACTGCTCTGTCCTTTCTCCCTGCAGGGCTGAGAGCAGAGCTGCCTTCATCCCACTGCTGTGCTACGGCTGCCGCCTGACGTTCAAGGAAATGGTAAGGATTTGAGGTGGCTCTCCAGGAATTGGGGACAGGGCTCAGTGTCCCCACTGTCCCCTCTCTTGCAGGGCCCCCCAGCCACGCTGCCACCCTACGTGCGCACCGAAGCTCAGCGCAGGAACTGCAGGTAGGGGACAAGCTGGGGAGGTCCCTTCCCTGCGGGCTGAGGGCAGTGCAGCCAGCAGGGCCCCCTGGTCTGTCCTTCACAGGGCTCTGATGAAGCAGCAGATCCAGGAATTCCTGCTGGAGGATGAGGAAGAGGAACCTGGCGGGAGCTGACAGTGCAGGACGCAGCTGTGGGGCACAGGGCCCTGTCACTGTGGGGCAGGAGGGTCCTATTAGGGTGAGGGAATCTGGAGTCACTGGGCCACCTGTGGTGATACCTGGCGTGCAGGCAGCTGCTTTTACACCAGATTCAAATGATCCAGTACCAGCAGGGGGTCAGGGGAGACCCCCCTCCAAGTGCCCATGCAGGGGGTGCTGATACCCACAGGCATCACATCCCTACTCCCGCCCCACCGCTGGGGAAGCTGGGGTGGCCTCAGCTTTATTTTATTAGATATCTGTATAAATAAAACCATTTGAATTAAAAAAAAAAAAAAAAGTCTACAGTCCGGCTGGGGATGCCAGCCACCCCAGTGGGGAGCCACAGCACCGTGCACCCCCCCTTTATGGGGCTATGGGGGTATTGCTTTAGAGTTCAACCTGGTTGTGGAGCGGGGCTGGGGGGGTACAGGAGGATGCTGGCTCGTGCCCAACCCCAGCAGCCAGGGGGATGCGGCGTCAACTCCTGACACCCCCCACAGCTGGCCAGCCCCCCAGAGAAGGCACAACATGGTCTCTGCCTGTTGGACGGCTTCAAAGCAAGGTGAGGATGAGATCCTCCTTCTAAAAGCACCGTCCCGTGCCCCCCAGCAGGATGCGACCCTGCAGGGCTGCTTAAGGCATTGGCGGTGGTGTCCCCTTGCGAGGGGCTGCAGTCCCTTCCCCTTACTCCTTCTCCCTCGTCCACTTGATCATGGTCTCGGGTGAGCGGTAGAGGAAGATGAGCTTGGCGTAGAGCTCCTCCTCCAGCTCCAGCTCTCCCGTCTCCCGCACCAGGAAGATGTCCTGGCACAGCTTCAGGATGCGGTCCACGCAAGGCAGCTCCTCAAACATGATGGAGTGTGAGATCTCGCTGAAGAAGCCTCGCACAAACTTCCCAATCACCAGCACGATGGAGACGTACAGCCCCATGATCCTGCAATGGGGGTGGGATGAAACCACCTTCGTTCCCCCCTCGCCACCCCCAGCTCCCTCCCTTGCCCCCCTACGCACCCATAGCCGGCCAAAAAGCCCAGGCTGGGGGGGCTGACTTTGTCATTGAAGATGACCATGGGCAGGATGTTGCCGTCGCGTGCTGGAGCATCCTTCAGCCTCACCACCCACCACTCCAGGAAGCTGTCACTGCCCTGCCCTGAGCCTGAGCGCTCCCGTTTCAGCTGCACCTCGACATCCAGGTAGCTGTCCTCTCCATCTGTGGGGCGAACAAGGGGGGGGTCAGGGCATGGCACGCTGGCCAAGTCCCCCATCGTGTGAACAACAGACAATGGGACCCACCTGGCAGCAGCTGCTTGACTGGATTGGCTTCGGGGCCGTTGGGCGCCCGGATATATTTGGGGAAGAGTTTGGGCACTTGCCTGCAACGAAACGGAGTGAAGCACCATCCCTGGGGGCGTCCCCTTTCCCTGACCCCCTCTCCCCAGAGACACTCACACTGGGGCATCACGAGTGCCTTGCAGCAGCTGGGCCAGCTCCATACGCTCCGGTGCTCCGGGCTGCAGGTCAGTGGTGTGCTTGTCGAAGGTGTGCTCCACCGTGCCGCCCTTCCCCAGGTCCCTGCAGGCACAGAGGTTTGCTGGGGGGGCACAGATAGGGCTGCCCCCTTCACCAGTAGCCCCGCTGTTACCTCTGGAAGGTCCAGGTGAGGCGCAGGGTGATGTCAGAGGAACCATTCTGCA